TATCTGGACATCGAGCGGAATCTCGTGTTTCGATTCGATCATGGGGAATACGTTCGTCGGTGATGTAACTTCCGGGAAATGTATTAGAGCCTCCACGATGCCGTGAACGCAACGAACTAAGTTAAGTGGGGTATTCATGGATCAGATCGCAAGCTGCACGCTCCTAGCCACCCCTTTTGGCCGCTAGTTTCGCGCGGGTCCGCGCCGCCCGTTTCGCTGCCTTCTCCTCGCGCACGCGCTTGCGCTCCTGCGTGGAGCTCACGGCCCCGCCGTCCGACTCCTCCTGCTCGACTCCCAGCATGTACGCGTCAATGCACTCCTCCATCCGCTTTTGTATGGACTCCCGTCCGCTCCCGTCGGGGGCGGGCCCGACCTCCCACTCGAGGTCGAACCCCCAGCCCGCGCGCCGCGAGGCCGCCGCGGCGGGGGGCGCCGACGCGTACACGGAGCCCCCCTCGTCGCGCCACCACTTGATGAACCATGCCGCGGCACGCTGGCGATCGGGGATGCCGCCGCGCTTGAGCATGCCCAGGCGCTGCGCAAGCAGCCCCAGGAACTGGTCAATATCGGTCGTTGGGGCCGCCCCCTTCGGGAGCAAGGAGAGGTACGCAGGCGCTGTGGGCACAAAAACATTATGAGCGGCTGTGCACGAACAGAGACGAAAGGGGGAGAGGGCGGACGCACCGTCTGCGTCAAGAACGTTCAGGCGGTACACGAGGTACGCCGCGAGTGACTCGATGTCATAGAGGCCCTCCTTGATCCCCGCTGGAGGCGACGTGGTTACTGCGATTTTTTCACGGGCGTATACTTGGATTTCGAAGCTCACCTATCAGCGCGAGTTTAACGCCTCGTTCGGCGCCTCTCTCGCCGCGCCCAAGAAACGGCAGCATGACGCCGGGTGTGTCAAAAGCATAAACCAATGGATCGGTCGACAGCTTCAGCCGCGTGGACAGTGCCCTTGTGAGGCCGGGCTGTGCAGACGTACGGAGCGCCTTCGGGGTCGCTGAGGGCGGACGATCAGTTCTGTACAGCTGCCACGAGGCTCAGAAGAGAAGCGGCGTACGTCCAGGGATCCCGATGTTCCGCAGCGCGTTCAGCAATGTCGACTTGCCGACGTTGGGCATGCCCACGACGAGCACGTTCAGCTCGGGCACGTGCGGGTGGTCCTTCGCTATATCTTGCCATATTAAAGATGCATCAGCGCGCGGATCAACGCGGGGAGAACGTGGGCGACGCACTCACGAGCAGGCTGCTCAGAGACTTGAGGTCGCGCGGCTTGTTCCAGGAAGCAAACAGAACCTTTTGCTCCGGAAATCTGGTCGCCATGGCCATGCGGAACGGCTGGGCGGGCGATCAGCACGGGTGCCCTCGCAGCGGATGCAAATTATAGTTCAGAAGGACTGAGGGACCTACCTCCAGTCCCCATTCAGGGACCAGATCGCGTTTACTGAACACGACAACGCGCTCGCAGACACGGGCGCTTGCTTGTGGTGAGGCCAGCGCGGCGTGCTCAGAGAGGCGGGAGCGCTCGGTGCGCCACCGCGCGAGTGCGCCTGTGCAGGGCCGCAACGTCAGCTCGCGTCGATAATGAATGAATGAGCGGGAAATGAGCCAGCGAATGATTGCGGAAAAGAAGACCCTGCACGTCTGTGGCACTGTCTGTTCGCCAGCCCATTGGATTACATACGGGTATGCATTATGAAGCGTACGGCATCCTGTCGTGGGCTTCCATGCCCAGCACCTGCGGGGTGGTGTTTCATGTGCGGTCTCAGGGGCCTCGCCTTTGCGGCGTGGCCAATGCGCGTTGGGCTTCGCACCGCGAAGGGCGTTGCTCCTTCAAGAAAGAAGGTCGCGGGTGCGGCGTAAACAGGATTGGGCAGGCTCGCAGATCGCCACGTCTCCGTGCCACAGAAAATAACTGGGGATATCTAGGCGCACCTTCAAACGTCCGGTTGATGCTGGTCAGTGGGAGCCGTGCGTCTCGCAGCTCGAGCACGATGTCCGTGCGCGTCAGCAGAGCCGGGAGCATGCGCGTGAACTGCGTCATATGGCCGGGGTACCACGACGGCGGCACCGGCAGCGCCGGCGACAGAAAGCGCGACAGCATGGTGTCCGGTCTGCGTGTCCGACGAGGCAGCAGCAAGGCCCAGACAGGCTTCGGCGGCGTCTGTAAGATCGCCTCGCTGGCGACAAGAGGTACGGAGCGTGTGCCGGGGCGAGGGCATGCACGGGCAATTACAGCGACCACCTGCCGAAAGCCGTGATCCGCCACGGTCAGAAGACAGCTGCGAGTCAGATGCACCTACTTACCGACTCGCCTGAGGATGTTGCGGAGGCGGAGAGCGAGTGCAGAGACCCTGAGGCTGGCAGGGGTTGTCTGAGCGTGATGAACACGCAGAAGTCGCGCAGACGCTTCCTCGGTTCGCGGAGTGTCTATTGTGTATGTGGCGTCGGCTCGCGTCGGAGGCATATCTTGATCAACAGACACTGTGGGAATCGCTGGGCGATGGCACGGCAGCGCAGCAACGGGAGAACAAAGACGGCATTGTCTGCCAATGCGCAGGCCGTCCAAAAATTCTAGAACCCTTCATAATTGGACCCTACATGGACCGAGAATGTAATCTACTTTCGAATCGACACCACGAGCAAAAATAAAGCGACTGGGAGAACGGATCGGCGACAGATTTTGAATAAATGCGGAGGAGTGCATGCGAAGATATGTAGAACTTGAAATACACAATATGCTAAGCCAAGACGTATAGTTAGATGAGGAAAGCAGCAAGTGTCGGACCAGGAAATGGGATATCAAACGATGGAATGGGTAGCACTAACAGCGGGGAGATCCGGGAGCAAAAACGATACCACAACGAATAAAAAGATAGCAAGTACCACGACCGCAACTGCGCAATGGATATGCACCCGACGGGCAGGGGTATGGCGTGCGACGGGGAATGGTCGGTCTGTAGCACTGGTGAAACGCAGGAAAGGATATCTGAGAGCGGCATGAAGAACGGACCGCTAGATCATCTCAGATGCGACGCACCAACTCAGACCCAATGAGACTCTCCTAGACCGATGGCGTCGAAGTTTTTGCCGCTGCGGGTCCGCCTCTCGTGCAGCACCTGCACCGCATCGAGGTTGATCAACTTCTCTGAAGGCGGTGGCGAGCCCTCTACCCAGCCCTTCCAGCCCTTGCGCGTTGTGGCGCGCTTCTTGCGCTGCGGCGGCGGGTGTGGCGAGGCGGAGGCGATTTCGCGCGAATGATCGAGGTCGTAGTCTTCCTGTGGGGTATGTGGACGTTTGGACGAAGTACGGGACGTACTGGAGGATACGGAGGGCCCCGGTGTAGTCGGCGGCGACGACTCTTGCGGCGGCGGGGTGACAGAGTTTGGACGGTGCGCAGTCGCGAGGTGCACGACGGGACGCGAGCCCCAGTCAAAGGTCGCGTCCATGAAAATGTGGCTGGGGCGGGGGGTGGCGATGACGGGGGCGACTGGGTCCGCGAGCGCAGGTAGGTTCCCATCGGCGGAAGCAGATGGTTCTCGCGATTTGGCGGCGAGCTTTGCCCTCTTTTTCTCCCTGTCGCGCTCCTTCTTCTCCCGTCTCCTCTCCCGCTTGAGCTCGTCGTCTGTCTCTACGGATTTGTTGATGGGCACGCCGTTCAAGAGGCTGGTGAGCACGTCGCGTGTGGGCCGCGGGTCGAAATCGCCTGCGAATACGGAAGTAGCGGTGCGACGGCGACGTTTGAAGGGTGGTATAGACGAGGAGGGGGTTGGGAACATAACGGCCATGGTTGTGGGATGGAGGGAGGACCGGGGGGTTAAGTACGCCAAAGTCGCGCGGTGGAGCGGCGGAGCGTGGTGGCCTGAGCGCGGGCGGTCGGGTGTTGTACTTTTACGGGTTTGGCCACGATAAATAACCCACAATAACCCCCAGGCACGTGCTCGCCAGCTATCGGCATCCTCGGCACACCCCGAATATCAGATCTTTCTCCATACAACAGATCCCTGAAATGTTCTCCGTGCCCATTAGCCACCTGTCTACCCGTTACCAACCACTCCTAACCGGCCTAACCCCTTGTCCCAAACTCTATTTCCTTTCATTATTCTCTCGCAGCCCCCCACAGCACAATAGCCGTTGCCGTGCTGCGTCGCCCCTACGCAGCCATCCAGTCATCCGAGTCACCTGGGCCTGGCCCACGCGGCTTCCTTGTCGTGCGCAGAAAGGGTGGGCATAATGCGCTTCGTATCCTCTCCAGCTGTTTTTAGCTGATCGTCTTGATAATCCCGTTCTGACCAGTTCAATGGGTCGTCTTTGGCCTTAGCCGTGGGGCGCTCGTTCTGGATCACTGTCACCCCCCCGGATGTACCCAGAGCGCTGAGACCCCAGCGGAATACAGAACGTGTCTCTTTGTTATCTCCCCCCAAATTGCCCTCTCAGGCGGCGCTTTTTCTCACACTTCCTGCGTATCGCTTCCAGCCCAGCTCGCGCCCCATCATTGGCCTCCCTTCGCTCCATTTCTACTCCATTCCAATCACTTGGATCCGATTGCGGGTCCCCACGACTGGCCTGGCTTCAACTGATCATGCGCTCGAGAATCCCGCCCTCCCCCACCATCAGGGTCCCTCTGTCCCCCTTGGGCAGCACTTTCTCCTCCGAAGATCTTAGCCCGACCTTCACGCGGAAGCATCTCTCCGTATCTTGGCTCGCGGGTTCTGTTCTGAATCTCAGGCACATGCCGTTCCACGTCGAACCCACCGCCTGTCCCATCGATTCCACCTGGAGTTCACTGCATTCGATCATTGCACCGAGTCACTTGAACAGTTCAACCCTGACTGTCATCTGCGCCCCGATCAGAGACTGTAGGAAGCTGATATCCTTCGCCCCGCCCATTTACCCGGTTTTGTATATGGGCCATCGGTCGAAGCATCGGTCGTGGGGTCCGGTACTTCTTAGTGCACCATGACGACCTGACGATGAGCAGCACTACGTAACATAAGTCCCTCTTAGCTCAGTTGGTAGAGCGCGTCACTAGTACTTTCGCGGTCTATGACGAGGTCAGTCGTTCAAATCGGCTAGCGGGAAATCAAGAATATCGCCACCAATTTTGCCCTGCGTGTTGAGCTAGAGACGTCAGTTTTTCTTTCATTCGACCCGTGGCAAGAGCGAGCAAGTCGAGATCAGCTACCTAAACTGCCTACCGTAGTTCTGAATACTCTCTGATGCCCGGACAACCGATGGAAGTGTTGTTATCGAGCTTGACATATCATCATCATGTTCGCGACCATTGTACAACTCATCTCAGCGGTCGAATCCCTCCACAGAGACTGCTATACCCACTGACGATGGGGGCGCATCTTGGTTGACACAGTGCCAGACCCGGGCCTGCGGCTCGTCGTGGTTCACGGTCAATGTTTGCAGGAGGCCAACGAAGTCTCAACGAAGAGTACACAATGGCTAAGAGGGGCAGGAGAATGACCACATCTGTGTTTCATGAATAGCTCACTGGAGTATGCAAAGTAGTCCAGAGTTCGCGGCTGGAGACCCGCCTCCCTGTAGTAGTCTCCCAGAGGCAAGTCACAGGAGAACATGCCAGTCAATCGTTCTTACTATCTCACTGCGAGTTGTGGCAGTTCACTAGACATGATTTACTCAGATCAACCAATGACATGTATTGCGAAGCGGCTAGTTGCGATACTGTGATATGGTCTGCGTGATGCGTGGAAGAGTTGAAAACTGCAGAAACCAAAAAAAACCTCGGACGTAGGAGCAGTTCCCGCTAGCCGATTTGAACGACTGACCTCGTCATGAACTCCGATAGTACTAGTGACGCGCTCTACCAACTGAGCTAAGAGGGATCGTAACGATTGCTTGATATGGCGCTATCAACGAGAAACCAAGAGTGTCTATATTCAGCAAGGCTTACAACCCTACAAATCACAAATAGACTACGGCTACTGTGTTTTCCTCATGAGTTGATTATACACGAGAGTTCCCTGCCACCACGCTACCATCCCCAAGCCTACGAAGCCGTGCAGGGTGCCCCAAAGGATTTCCGGAGTGACTTTGTACCTAGGGTCTCTAGGTTAGACGGGGACGCGCGAAAGCGGGTATATTGACTCACGACTCGAACGATTTGCCGAAGGAGAAAGGGATGAAGCGAGGGGACTGGAACAGAACCGTGGAGACGAGGCTGTGGTAGACGCAGAGCCCGATCGCGAACGCCCGCTTGCCTGGGAAGAACTCTGCGCCACAGGGTCAGAGCGGGTGCACATTTCGGCAGATAGAGACAATACAGACCAGGTAGCGGGTAGCACAGGAAGGCGATGAGGCAGGACGCCAGCAGGAGCGCTGAGTACAGCTGTGCCGGTTTGGGGTTAGCGGGTAGCGCCGCGAGTGTGGCGACGGGGCGGCTCACCTTCAGGACAATGAGCGTCGTGTTGGTGAGTTCAAGGAAGGGGAGCGACGACGGCGTCCAGATGCCTTGGATGCCTAGCGGCACCTCCAAGGCGATGTGCAGCAGGAACACGGCTGAGCTGCGCAGCCAAGGGCACTGTTGTGTCAGTCGCTGTGCTTGTCAGCGGATGAATGTGTTAACGTACAGCGGGCTGCGTCCGTCGGACATGGTGGGACTGCGAGAGAGTGACTGACGTGGACGAAAGGTGGACGTTGGAGGTGGGAGGGAAAAGACACACGACCAGGAACGCAGGGTCTGAGAGGGGTTGATGGTTCCTCCATCTCCATCTTATCTTATCTACTGCACCGCGCGTCCTCCACCTCCACCTCAGACACTCGCAGAGCTCGTCGCCATCTTTTCTGACAACGATCGCTATCACGCGACACGGTAGTGTCGACCATATACGCACGTCTGACACATAACTACCGCAAACAGACCGCTATCACTGACGGAATAGTACATACATCAGTCTCGTTACACTATGACATTCGGGCACAATCGAGTCTCCTCAAGACTTACAAAAAAAATAGAGAGACCCCACTTACCCAACCTAGCGACATGATACTCTTGGCGAGCGCGGCGCGCGCGATCCGGGCGACGATCATCGCGGACTGTATCCTGGAAATCATGTCTAGACACTGTTCGAATGTAAGTACGTACATACCTGCACAGCACCATTGTGGTAAGCATCAACATCATCAGACAGACGTCGATTGCCGGCGCCGGCGTCACGCACGGCAGCGACATCGTACTAACTTACAATAGCGAACGAGTGTAGCCGAGTGCTTACGCTATGTAAGTACTACTGTACCAGCGCCATGATCTCTTGGTCGGCTGGGAGACACCTCGTCTGACTACCGGCGGTATGGGCGACTGAGGGTCCGGTCGAGGCGTCGGACCAGATCAGACTTACCTCCTTCGATCATTTATGTGCACAAGAAGGGCAAGTCGAGCCCGCGTAAAATCCAACTGCGAGGCTCTATCGCCCCGCGGAACATGGGCGCGGAAGTCAAAATGATTCGTCGGCGTGGAGCACAGTACTGCGGGACCGGGTATCAAGGTTGGCTTCTGACGCCGTATACGGTATAGCGCTGGGTGGCAACAGGCGTATATCAGATGATAATGCCGTAGAGCACCGGCTGAGAAGCTACATACCTTCATACACAGCCGGGAAGCCCTCGGTGGCGCAGAGGGGAGGTCAGCTCAATGTACGAAGAAGTGGGCACTTTCCGAGCGGAATAAAAAAAAACCACGGTTGTGTCATTCGACTATAAGCCAACGCCCATGCTGACAGCGGGTAGCGATGGCCGCGACAGTCTTGAAGTGCATCTTGAAGAGCGTAAGTCTCAAGCGGCGGTCTGCGTCCGTGCAAAAGGGTATAAAAGTGTGGGCGATGCACCACATGGAATTGATTTTCCTACACCTCGTAAGTAGCCGTCTTTCAAAACAACAAAGGGTATCCATCGTATGAGGAACCCGTACAACATGCCCTGCTAAGATCGGTTCAATAAAATTAGCCGTCAGTATCGCCCACCCTGCAACACGAACCTCCAACGGTCCCGACGGACCCTGGAGTCGTGGCAAGACGCCGTTACTCCCCGCCATCCTCATCGCCCTCGTCGCCGTCGTACGCGCTCGCGCTGCGCCTCCACGGGCCAACCTCGCCGAGGTCCATGTCACGGTCCAGATCGATATCCTCCGCGCCCTCCCGCCAGACGTCCTCGCCGATGAGCGAGCGCAGGCGTACAATTTCGCGCCGTAGCGTCGACATCTCTGAGTCGCGGCGCTCGATCTTGCCCTTCAGCAGGCGGATGTAGTCGTTGCCGCAGCGCAGCAGCTGCAGTTTGCTAATCCCACGGTTCGGGCCTTCGACGTTGCCACGAGGCGGACCACGCGGGGGCATTGCGCCGGGGAGGATGGGTTCGTCGGGGAAACCGTCTTCCGAAGGTAGTGGTATTGGCGGGAGAAGCATGCGCAGATCGTCAAAAGTTGTCTTTAGCGAGTCGCGCCGCTTCTGCTCGGCGGCTTTGTGCGATGTTTTCCGCAGGAGGGGCGACGGCATCGAGGATGAGGCGAGTGCGTTCGGGCCGAGCACGTTGCCAGCTGCACGGAACTTGGCGTGAACACCGGCACGCTAGACGCGCAGAGAAAGCTGCTTACCTGGAAGGATGGGCTTCAAGCTAGGGCTCACAAGCGAGGTGCCGATGTGCTTCTTGCTCCCGGCGTTGGATTCTCTTCGCGACGTGCCCTTGCCCTTGCCGTCAGCTTTTTGCAGCTGGGAAGGAGGGGCGAGGTTGCTATTGATGCCGAGCCGGCCCAGATTCATGATGCTAGCTGGGGTCACGGGAGTCATGCTCTGGGTGGGAGTAGCGCTATTCGAGGCAGTTGACGATGACGCATTGAAGTCCTGGGACATGGGCGGCGCGGGTGGTGGCATGGAAAGATCGACGGGAGAGGGTGTATCAGCTGGTGCGTCGCCGGCGGTCCCGTTCTTGCGGCTTCCGGAACGCGTCGAGCGCATCAATGGTGTGGAGGAAGCAGATTTTGTGCCTCTCGTCGACCGTTTGCTGCCCTGGGTCGGGAGAATCGCCGGCGATGGGCGTTGCCGCGTATATCGCGCCTGCTCATCGTCGTTTGGCGAAGCAGTCCGTTTGTTACTTGAGCCTTGCCGCGGAGGGTCAGGCTTGTAAGCCTCGATCCACGGGCTTGTGAGAGGAGATAGGTCGAAATCCATCTCTCCCGGAGAGGGCAGACGTACGGGGGGATTGGTGTTGAAGACGATGTTGGCTGGGGCAGAGTGTGCGGAGGTCGCAGACATGTGATGGGCGGGGAGGTGCATGTCGGGAGGAGGAAGTTGTGGATGCATATCTTGTCTATATTGAGAGTTATCGACGAAGCTTAAGGTCATGGGGGAAATGTATTCCGGGTTCGGGCTTCGCTGAGCGTGGAGCTCTGTGGAAGACACTGTGCGCGGATAGCTCGCCACCGTGAACAACGATAGTTAAACGAAGGACTTACTGGGTGTAGGCAGACCAAGATAGTGCGTATGGGTCTTTTGACGATCAGTAGCTCCGTCTAAGTTTGCGGCACCTCCTTGGCCGTTCAGGAACTCGAGCTGCAAGGAAGAGAATTAGCATCGCGTATAGAGATTGTGAGAGAGCGCGGTGGATGCTTTGCTTTCATCACGGACCGGGAAAGCATACATTGAACGCAATATGACTTGCCTGCTGCTGAAGAATTTGGTTCTGCAACTGCAACTGCTGCAGCTGGTTGAGCTTCAGCCGCTGCTCGAGCATCAATTGGGGATTGTATTGGCCTTGAGGCGACGCGACTGGCGGTGTGCCCTGCATGGCCATCATGCCACCGAGGAAGTCAAAGTTGACGGGCATGTTGGGTATGTTCATGGTCGAAGGGGAGGCTGCAGAGAGAGCGGCATTGTATATGGCCTGCTGCTGGTGGGGTTCTGCGGCACGTTCTGCGCCCTCGGCCGCGAAGAGGGTAGAGAAGAAGTCCTTCTGTTGCTGCTGGTCCTGCGTGGTGTGCTGGTCCATGGAGAGCAAAAGCAAGGCAACAAAGGCCCGCAAAAAGGCAGGAAAATTGAAGGCGAGAGGAGGGGGCAACGATACAG